TTGGAACTTTATCATATGCTTTTTCTAAATCAATAAATATCATATGTAGATGATCCCTGATTTGATTTAATTGATCATATTGTATGAGAAAATATTATATAGTCCAATTTAAAATTGGAGTATATCTAATCAAATAGTATGAACCTAGCTTTATACTATATGATTATATTATTAAAATTAAAAATTAAGGTTTCATTTAAATAACCAACTTAATTTATTTTAATAAGAGTATTTGAGATAATCGAAACATAGGTTTTTATGAGAGAGACTGTAGGGAGAGAGATGATCTCTTCCTTGAAAATACCTTGAGGGAACTTTTGGGAGTGACGGTGAGTTTGAGAGAAACCATGAAGGTGTTCAAGGATTATGTGAAGAGATTCACATAGGAGTTTTGTTAACCTACAGCTTTCCTCGTAAGTAGAGTATTATTCCAACAAGGAAAGGAATCACCCTAAGATCACTTTACTATTTCTTATTTGAATTTCAAAATTTATCTTATTGATATATATAATTAATAATGTGTTCTAATAAAATATATCTACTATAATTTCAAAAACAAAACTATATCTAAGGGACTCTGAACCTATGATACTTAAAAAGCTCGTGATTACAAAAGTTAAATCTCTCTTAATGTTACTATGAATCAAAGTATAAATATTTCTCATCTCTGTTGAGTTCATTGGAGTGTCTAGCCAAGTATTCACTTAAATACAGTGATTATATCCACTTAAGATCTCAAAACTCAAACCACCATATATTTATGTATGCTAGAGTTCAGTTTTTTATTCCCTAATTATTCCACCACTTATTCATCAATATTATAAATAACCTTAAATTTTAAGTTCATACACAACTTCTCTATAAACTAAATTAAGCACGAAGGATTCAAAAATACTATTGAATGGTTCATGAAATTCAAATCTAATGTCAAGTAAACATGACTTCTAATGTATTATAAACCTAACTAAATGTTCTATCTACCCATGGAAATTAAAATAAGCAAAAAACTATTCATCTAAATACAAAATCAAAAGTATAAGAGGTAAGTTAAGGATAAATATCACCATGAAGTTCTTTACAACACAATTACAAACTCCCTTTCCACTAAAATTGATTTCATTGACTTACACTCACACTTTCTCTAAACTTCGTCTTAGACTATTTTTAAATAACAAAATGGCCAGCCCCATCATTAATTTAGCCAAAAGAATTTATATTTAATTCAAATACTTGACTCGGGCATCGTGGTGATGATAGTGGTGGCACTGTGATAGTAAAAAAAGAATTAATCTAATGGTGCTCTAACCGAATTGATGACACTGATATTTTTTCAATGAAGGACTTGTTGAAGCCAAAAAAGTTAAATATGAGAAAATTAAATCAGTTCCATGATGACAAAAAAGTGTGTGTGTGTGTGTGTGTTAAAGTATAAAATATATTTTTATTTTTCTTGAGTTTTTTTTAATGTTAGGCATGAAGTTAGATTAATAATCGCACAGACAAGGGATAGAATAATGTCAAATATAGTTAATTAAAGCATTTGATTTTCTACCCTAATCGCACTGTATGATACTATCACATGGATTAGGTTGCTTGCGTCTTGAATTATATGGATGAAAATAGGTAGTGATAATAGGGGATGGGCCATAAAATGGATTATATGTAGGACTTACAACAAAAGCACTATTAATACGCCTCTGACTTCAATGAGGCACTTATGGGTACATTAAAAATCTGTTAGATATTTCAAGGTCCTAAAAAAACATTCTTCTCTATAGCCACAACATATGAACCTTATAGGAGGTCTGGAGCAACAACACCAATAGCAAAAAAAGAGTAAGATGAAGGAGAAGAAGAAGGGGATGAGGAGTAGAAGTGAGTTTGTTTTGTTTTTGTATTGTTGCATTTTTCTTTTATGTTTTTTGTGTAAGTTTGGGGGGAATTTGAAAATCAATGAAAAGTATATTTTATTTTGCCATTTTAAGTTATTTATTTGCATTTAAATTTTCATATTACACTTTTTATTACATCTAATTTTATTCTTGCTTCGATTGTCAATTTTTGGAAATTTTAAAATAAGAAAAATAATAATTTAAGGTGATTAATAGTGCACAAGATGGAAAATAATAAAATTAAGCAACCTGTAAAAACTAATACTTTCATTAAAATTTGTACTTCCCAATGAAACATGCATCTAAATAACACTTAAGCACTTGACTAATTATCATAGGATTAATTGATTAAAGGCTTAGTTAAAATGTGTTATTTAAATTTACTTATGGAATTATAAAACATGCAATGAATCTTAGGTGGTGATAGCTTAGATTACAAAAGGGAGAGAGAAAGATAAGTATTCAAAATTTATAAGAGGTACTTAGCAAAGATGTGAAAAAGAAATTGAGAAAAAAAATAATAAAAAGGAAAAAACAAGGTGAAAAGCTAATTATTAAAATATAAAAAACTAGTACTTGAAAATTTAACTCTACCTAAATAAGCTAAGGAGGAATTAATCTAAGGGGACTTGTAGGAATTATGGTATATAAGGAAGCTTATAGTATGAATGGAAGATTAAAATAAATATGATATTCTCCTTAACCCAACAACATTACCCTAGGTAAACAAGTCAAAATTTGCATAAACATATTTAGGAATTGGATTCAAAAGGAATATTAATAGAGATTAAAAATTGGGTTATTATAGGATGTAATAAAAGAGTTATTATCCACTGAATGTTATTATTAAACATATTAAGTTAATTTTTTTTTAATTTTAGAAATTTAAAAGTTTCTAAAAAGACTTGGTTAGAAAATATTAGGAATGACCTTTCTTTATTAGATTTAAACGAGAATTTGACTTTTAATAGGACACAATGGAGAAAAAGGATTCATGTAGCCGACCCCACGTAGTGGGATAAAGGCTTGATGTTGTTGTTGTTGTTGTTGTTGTAGAAATTTAAAAGTTTCATTCCAGCTAAGTAAAATTATCCTATAATGAAGTGCATAAGGATTACTTGAGGACACATAATAATTAGGTTTGAAGATATATGTAGTGAAAATATTATTATGTTTTAAGCTAACCTCTATTATATTAAACTTGCCCCACCTTAAGATTTGTTGTAAGAAAATTCAAGAAAATAATGAAAAATGAAAATGAAATAATTAGCATTGCCACAATGTTGGATTGTTGAGTGCTGTGACATTAAAGGATAATTTGACTCAACACAAAGAGAAAAGTCAATGTAGAGTGTAACTCAACAATGCTGAAGCGCCATTCCAAAACCACAATGCTAGATCACTAGAACATTGTAGTGCTGACAAGGATGCCAAAATGCCTGAATGTCATGGCATAGTAGCCTAATAAGTTACACTCTCTATGCAAAATGTTGATTTAGTTAAAGTGTTACAGTGCTAAACTTCACAAGCACCGTGGTAGTGTTCAAAATGTGAGCTTTACAACTCTACCATTATGAGAATTGCAAAGCCAGAGCCAGTTATATATTTTTATATAAATAACATGGTTGAATAATTAGAGGGTAGGCCAACTTATCACTTGTACTCAAGCTTGGCAAGTTTCAGTATGGCGTATAGGAGTCTGAGAGAAAATGGGATAAGGATCATGGAAAGGAGTGCTTGTATTGCCACTGTAACAAGATAAGTTGGTTTTTTCTTTCGTTATTCTCTTTTCTGTATTTGTTCTTATAATTGAAATGAAGGTTGTTATGTTTATTTTAATTGAAATGTCTGGCTAGTATTCTTTATGGGCATATAATATGTTAATAATGCATGCTTGTATACATTAGATCTTATAATTTTTCAATATTGTAATTTTAGTTCTACTTCCTCTTCATGTAATTTATTATTATTTTTTTAAAGATGCATTTGCATTAATAACCAAAAACTAATTATAATGTAATAAAAGGCTCACATTCCTTCTTTAACAAATTAAATAAAGAAGAAGGAATATTGCTAAAAGAAAAACTATCAACAAAAAAACTATCATCTAAAGTCAAGATAGGACATAATCGTAATTTAATATTTATATATTCCTTACACAAAGTTAAAACCTACTATAATCTATGTTCTCGATGGAGGCAAAGTGGAATTAATTACGGGAATTAGAATGGAGTTCTTCCATGCATAGACATGATGGATAAAACTTTGGGATTTTTAAGGTGATATAATCAATAAAATGAAGTGTATATTTGATAGGAACTCTGGCGAACTTGATAGCGATAAGGATATACATATGCTATGATCCATAGTATAAGATTGAGAGATCAATCTATAAAAAACCAAAGCTCTTAACTATCATAAGTTAAAGATATTTGAGAACATAGAATTTTTTACATAATTATTTATAGTGTTAGTTGTACTCAGGACAACCCTTTTAACGTAATAAGATAAATCTAGAAATTAATAGTAGTACTAAGGTTGTATTTGAGACTATTCTAATTTCGTGGGAATGATACTTAACTCATCATTATATCACTTAACATGACACATGTAGTTGCATAGAATTCTATTGAAAATCCTAATTTAGTATTGTTGGGTATTGACAATCAGTTGCTCTTAAAAATTTCTAGGCGAGAAATGATTTTTAATAATATGATCTACTAGTCTCTGGTACCTATAAGAAAGTTTCTTCCAAAAAATTTTTAAAAGTAAATATTTATAATATTCACAATAACCTTAAAAAAATTATTTTTAGCACATTATGTTTATAATCACCTTTAAAAAAAGATTATAGCTACTAGGCTTGTGAAGTTGTTTATAAAGAAGCTATGAAGTGATAATTGGAAAACAATTTTTTCTTACTGGCATTGTGTGCTGTATAAATTTGTTCTTACTGTTTCTCACCATAGGAATTTAATTGAAAGGCAATATCATTTGGGACAATTTTTTTATACTATTCCTTAATGTAACTTTTTTAATATTATTTTTTTATTTTTTTATTTTTTTATCAAAAATGTGCTTTAAGAGAAGAAAGCCGGCCCAAAGAAGCCTCAGAAACCCTAGGCTACTAGAAGACGGCGCTTCTATAAAATTTTCGGCCATCCTACTCAACGGTTTAAAAAAGCGGTGCGGAAGAGTTTGTCGATGGGAAATAAAATCGGCGAATATGCAGATCTTTGTGAAACCCTAACGGGGAAGACCATCACACTTGAGGTTGAAAGCAGCGACACAATCGACAATGTGAAGGCGAAGATTCAGGACAAGGAAGGTAACCCCTTTCTCATTTCAAGCTGTCTTTCCGTTATTTGTGATCTCGTGTATTGTTGGGCAGGCGATTGAAATCTATGCCACCCTTTCATAGCTTCTTTGATAATTACATAAAAATTTCCAGCGGTTGGTTATTGCTAATTTGCAGGGATTCCGCCTGATCAGCAGCGCCTAATTTTTGCCGGGAAGCAGCTTGAGGATGGAAGAACCCTTTCTGATTACAACATCCAGAAAGGTATCCCTGAGTCATATGCTTTAAATTTTATATGCGGCCTGTTTTGTTGATATTTGTTCGCGTATATGATTGTTTTACAGAGTCGACGTTGCATTTGGTCCTGAGGTTGAGGGGTGGTATCATCGAGCCCTCTTTAATGGCCCTTGCCAGGAAGTACAACCAAGATAAAATGATATGCCGCAAGTATGTTTTGTATTCCTGCTTTTCAACTTCATTTATGTTTAACCTTTTTCTTTTTTTTTTAAACCTAATGGCTCAACAGATTGAAGCATCTAAGCACCATTCCAATTTTTACCCATCTGAGATGTTGTACTTAATTTGGTTGGCTGGTGTTGCTGGTGGATGAATTTGTTGAACTTTTGTCTGTTCCTGGTTTTTCAATTCAAAATGTGAGCATAATTATGGAAATGTCATCTTATGTGGATGGACCTACCGATTTTGTACCTCTTTGTGAATAAATGTTCGAAAGAGGTCATCGTAGCTCCTGAAATTAAACATCCTTAACTTTATCATCTGTTTTTCTTTAGTAGCGGCTGATTTTCATGGGTGGCACATTTCTTTTTATCAACTTTTGGGTTGTTTTGGCTGCAAGCAGACTATTTAGTACAAGTTGGATGTAGGGAATCCTATAATCCAAACTTAGTAAAAGCTGAGAGGGTTAAATTGGATTGTTTGGCATGACATGTTGTTCGCTCCAGAAAAATCATCTTTTTAAATTAAAGATATGTTTATGAATCCCGCTCTCACGAACTTACGGATTTTCTTTAATTTTTCTAGAGGTAGATTAAATTTAACAATTAACCAGATTTTCCCTGAGAGTAATATCAGGGTTTATTTAGATCTAGGTTCTACTTCCTATGAGCACAAGCCCTCATAGTTAATTTATCCCTCCTAATGCATTAGAAGAGCACTCTCGATTAAGGATGAAATATACTTAGCTTTGTACAAGAAGTGTGAGAATGTGCAATAGATATTTAAATTTAGTTATGGGGGTATAAAGGTACACCCGATCAAGATCCCATGGTTTCGTCATCCCGGGCATATCGTGGGTTCAGTCTACCAACACTAACAATCATTGATTGTAGTGTCAAGGGAATCTAATTAGCAGCCATGGGTTGCCTCCTCTCAGGGATCCCGAGTAGACTGAAGTGAAGATATATGAATTTTAGTTTAGTTTAGTTTAATTTGGGTTGGGGCTTATGGCTTCCTTAGAAGTTGCCCGTTAATTTGTTTAGTTTGGGGCTTATGGCTCCAATTAGGAGTTGCCCGTATGATTTGATTTGGATAGGGGCTTATGGCTTTCATTTGAAAGTGGCCCTGATAGTGGGACTTACGGCCTCTGTTAGAGGTGGCCCGAAGAATTTTGGTTGGGTAGGTCTTATGGCTTCCTTAAAAGTTGCCTAGTGATGGGTCTTACGACTTAACCCTATAAGCTAAGTGGCCCGAGTGATTTAATTATTATTTTTTATTATAGGGTCGTTCATTTAGAAGTTTCCTAACATGTGGGTCTTATTTCTTTGCTTAGAAGTAGCCCAAATAGCGGGTCTTACAACTTAGTCCTATAGGCTAAGAGGCCCAAAGTGATTTGAGTTTTGGTTTTAAGGTCGTTCGTTTAGAAGTTCCTTAACAAGCGGGTCTTACTGCTTTGCTTAGAAGTAACCCGAAATAGCCGGTCTTAGAAGTTCCCTAACAAGTGGGTCTTACTGCTTCGCTTAGAAGTAGCCCATGTGGCGGCGGGTCTTACAACTTAGTTTTATAGGCTAAGAGGCCCTTTTAAGGGTTCTAGAGCTAGGTAGCTATCTAACTATTACCCTTAAAGACTGGACTTACGGCTTTCATTGAAAGTAGCCAATGGTATTTTTTTTTGGAATTTATTGCTTCACTTAATAAATATATATTTAGTAAAAGAATTGTCGATAGGATTTACTGCTTTTATTAGAAGTAACCTATAGGATTCATATTAGCTAGGGCATAGCTTTAGGCACTTAACTCCATCGACGTCAATTTTAGTGTCTTATTTTATGCTCGTAGCTTATTTCTACTACAACAATTTGTGGCTTTACTTTAGCATTGTCATTTATTTATTTATACAGCTTTCAGCACTTTGTTTTGCATGCAATAGCTAGATTTTACTTTTTCTAGCATTTAATTTAGTATTGTTTATTGATGCACTGACTTTTTGCCTTTTTGCCTGCAGTAGCTCGTAGCCAGTAGTTTAGGAAACTCTCATGTAGCTACATGAGCATGTTGTTGAGAGCTACTCAGAGTGCTTGAAATATCTGTTGGAGAGAGTTGCTCAGTTTGAGAGTATATAGCTCTTCGGAGAGTTACCAACTTAAGAGCGATTTGAGATGTTCGTTAGTTTGGAGAACCATAGTATGTACTTATGTTGGATTAGTGGTATTTTTTATGTTGCTTTGATTTTTATGCTTTATTTTGATTTAATTAATTAATTAAGTTTATTTGTTAAAATTTTGAATTTTAATTAAAAATTAATTTGTTCAATTTATGACTTTTAAATTTAGAATATATTTTAAAATTATTAAGCTATTTGTAACTTTTAAATTTTGAATAGTAATTTAATTGTTTAAATTTCTCTTATGTGATTTAATTGACTTAACAATTTGTTGTTAGTTAATTAATTCCGTTAATACCTGCTTTGGATTTGGAAGGGATCAAACTTAATCTTTTCATTTATTTGCTCCCTGAAAATATTTGAATGTGAGAATTTCTTAAGGTTTTAGTTGGTTTGAAATTAAATGGTTTGATTAAATAATTAAAATGAATTAGATTATACTAGGTTATTTATTTATTTACATTTGTTAATTTTTAATATTGCAGTTGAATTAATCGGTTGAGATTTTTTTTTCTTTCCAAAAATCCAAATAAGTCCACAATTTTTTTAAGTCCAAAAATTTTTTAGAAAGATTTCGAAAGCCTCCCGGCGTCCCCTCCCCGATGCCGGGAGATAAGGGAGTGCTCGACTCGACCGGAGCGAATCAACGGTGAGGAGATTTGATCTTCAGAAACTTTGATTGGCGATGATTGGTTGCTGGAGATTATCAAAAATTGCATTTTCAGAATTTTGGCTAAGTAATGGATTATTGAGGAAATTTCGGCAGCCTTCCGGCGTCCCCTCCCCGATGCCGGGAGGTAAGGGAGTGCTCGACTCGACCGGAGCGAATCAACGGTGAGGAGATTTAGTCTTCAGAAGCTTTGATTGTTGACGGCGACGCCTCTAATGTTGATTGCGATATGATGTTTGCCCCTCTCTTTTTTTTTATCACTATTGCATACAAATTTATATATGTATATATTGTTATAATAATATATAATATTAATAATAATTACAACAGTAATTATTATTAATTTTACTAGCATAAACTTCTTCTATCGCTTATGATATGAAATGAAGAAGTGGTTTCAAGAGTTGAGCGGCCGTGTGCCAGGAAGTTGCCGCGGACTCAGAGACCTACGGGTGAGGATGTTTGCTTGCTTGAGGCTTGCTCGGGGCTGAACGAACGGAGACCGGACGTCAGGTTCGAAACAATCGGAGGCAAGAATTGAATCGTGGATTGTTTGTTGATGTAGATTCGTGTTTCTTGTTTCTTGCGATTGACCTTGGTTTGCCGGCGGACACAGATGGATGAACAGTTGACCTTTTCTTGCTTGGGAGAAAACCGAGGAAAACCAGAGCCGAAGCTTTTGCGCCAGTCAGTATCCGTTCGCATGAAACTACCCATCCATTCTTCTTCTTGTTTTATATGAATTGAGACAGTTTCTACGTGAAGGAGATCATGGGGCAACGTGCTGCGGTTTCTGCTTTGCCGACGTGCCCTTTCATTGCTTTAAATATTTTGTATAAAACTTTAAAAATAGCATATTGGACACTTATTCACTGTAGCCCTTTTGAGATTGAATATCATTTAGTTTTGACCAGATATTCTAAATAACTGCTATTCATCTGATCAACGTGCCCTTTGGAAATAGATAGGCTCAGAAATCCATAGAATGTAGACAAATGGAAATTGCTCATTTAGCATTTAAATAATAATTAGGTTAGTAAATCCTCATGATATGATATGAAGAAAAGTTTAGCAATACCGTCCTTGCCCTCTTTCTTAATTAAATCTAAAAAAAGTTTGCATGCTGATTAGAAATCTTCCCCATTCATGTGCCATAAATTTGTTTTCTCAAGACCAAAAATATTAAGTCGGAGACCATTGAACTCTGATTTCAAAAAACTTATAATTGAACTGAACGTCTCGGAAATATAAACCTAAAGACACCAAACTCAAACCAATCCGAGCTCAAATAGATCCAAATCAAGGACCCGAAGCGCATTTGGAAAGTCCAAACCATAATTTTGGTTACCAAACGGCTTCCAAATGTGACATGCTTATAGTCAAATCGTGTGGCTCGACGGGACAAATCCAACGAGCCCAAGATCACCAAATTCTTGTTTATCTATTTGCATGTACATAAACAAATAAAATACTATTTATTTGTTTCAGTTAACCTTTAATTGATTGGTAATTCTATCTCAATATGCATATCTTTTGCTATGCTATTAATATTCATGGATGAACATGCAAATTCCAAATGCATATTGGAGTCGAAAGCTTGGCATATGATTTGAGCATTGATTAAATGCCCATTGCTAAATAATTTGCACATATGAGTTCTATATGCCTTCTTTTGAGTAAAAAATTTGAAATATTATTTATTTCTTTAGTTTAGCAAATTAACTGAAGCTTTTGCTAATATGAGACCAAATTTTATTCGAACACATGCGTTAAATGTAGTTAAATCATATCTAAGTGTGTCCAATATTTAAAGATGGGGAATTCATGTGGATATCAGAACATGGGAAGTGAATGAAAGTTGCAATTTATTTAATAGGGAGGAGATCACAATCAAGGCTGGGGAAAGGCAGATCATGCAATAGGTCGGGAAGGGAGTTTAGGAGGGCAGACAGATCTTCTGTTGGGAGATCATGCATAGTAAGATATTGTATTTTCTGAAGATTAGATAACTGCATACACTAAAGACAAGATAAAGAGGAGATCAAACTCAAAGAAAATAAGAATGTAGTTTTTTGCACAGATTGAAAGGAGATTGCATCGAAATCTAAAGCTTGTGAGCAAAAAAATTAAGTAGGGTAAGTTAAGAGATAGCATCGGCATCTGAAGCTTGTGAACAAAAAATAAATAAAGTAGGGAAGTGAAGTTTTATGGAAGATGTCACAACCCATGACATTTTTCTTTTAAATTTCAGATTTACTTTGGAATAGAGGTTAATCATGATTATATTATCTTTTGTATTTAAGGTTTTTATTTCTCTATTTGGCATGATTTAAACTAAATATTACTTCAATCTTTCTTTAAAGTTTCTTCAAAATAGTTCTTTAGGACATGCTAACAATTTATGTTTATTATATTCTTTTTCTTTCTTATTTCACATTGATTGTGAGATGAGGGGTTAAATGGGTAGATATTTTATAGGAGAAAATTGAATGAATGATTCATAGTTAATTTGATCCTAACTTTAGGCTCATGTTTTTTTTTTTCAACTGTTTGATTCAAATATTCTTTGATTCTTGGTCAAAAGATTTTTTTGCAATTAGTTTTAATTGGACGACAATTCTTTTAACTCCCACAACACTTGATATCATGATATCATCAAGATTTGTATTGACTCCCTAATCATTCTCAAGATAATCCCACTATATTGAATATTTTTTGAAGCCTTTGGCATAGATCCATTCATTTGATTAAAATCATCTTTACTGCTGATCATATCCATATATCTTGATCTATCCATTCATCATCACTAGCACTGTGACTGTCCAGTATGCATCTATTGGTGACCTGACTCATTTCTCTACTTTTCAATTGATTATTTATAGTACTAAAATGCCCTTGTGCCATTGAAGGGCATTTTGTTCTAGCATGAACTTTAGAGATGACATGGCTTATCACTTCACCATATGATTCTTTGAGGTACTAAAACACCTTTCTTCAAGGGCTTATGATAATCAACATGGTTTGTGGTAATCTCTCTCTCTCTCTCTCTCTCTCTCTCTCTCTCTCTCTCTCTCTCTCTCTCTCTCTCTCTCGCACGCGTGCGTGCGTACACATTTTCATTATTAGTTGAATAGCTTGATTTGAATCATTGACTACATGGCTTATCTTTTCGCCATATTATTCTGAGGTACTAAATGCCTTCCTTCAAGATCTTGTAAGAGTCATTGAAGGTGCAAGGTATATTCACTCTCTTTATTTCGTTTCTGTTAGCAAGAAAGTTTTGTTGAATATGTTTCGAAAATTTTTGACATTCAAATTAGCTCTTAACTTTAGTTTTGGAGGTAATTTCTAGGAGTTGCAACCCGCATGTAGCTAATGTTTTTTGTTGTATGTGTGTAAGAAGTATGCCCATGTTTAAGGGCCTACTTTAAATCTCAGGAGCACAAGATTGCTTTCTAGCCCACAGTAAGGGCCTTTCCCCTTGATTAGGATTTCAAGACGAGAAGTCATTTTGTCCCTTTTTTTTTAAATTTTTTTGGTGGGGAAGGGCATGGTGGGGTGGGGGTTGGATAGTGAAAATATATTTTATGTTTTATTCGTCATTAATACCACTATGGCAAGTAGTGGTCTTCAAAATCTCACATAGGCAAAGGTTACAAAAAACACTTTTCTATTGGCTTCTTAGCATGTCCCCACTTGCATTAGGTTGCATAATACACAACATTACCAGCATTCTATCATTGTGGTTGAGAAAAATATCATTATTGTTCAATACATTTGAAAAGCTCCTCTAGTGTTATTAATGCATGTGCACCAAAGCAGTGGAGCTATCCCTTAACAGAACGTTTTACTTTGCCAATATAGCTTATAGAATTTATTTTTGTAGTGCAAGCATCAATTAAAAACTATCGGTCAAACCATGTGTTCCAAATTCCCCTTTCTGTCTTTTTCACCCACAATAAGTTTAGTTACTATTTCTCTTTTTCTTGTAATTTCATAGTTTGGGGTTATGCTGCCAGATGTGTTTCTTTATTTTGCCATCATCAAAATTGGTTTTCATAGTTCCTATGAGTAAGATGAAAGACAAAATGTACACAGTTATACTTCTATGGCATCAAGCTTTCTATAGTACAACTGTTGTTGAATTGAGCTTCGAATTAGGTGGTTTGGGAGCTTGTAAGATTTAGTAATGCTTTAATCTGGATTGATTAAGGTTTTGTTTTAGATAGCTTTCTTACTGCTTTTTAAAGCAATTTAGTACAAAAATTTTAATTTTTTAGGGCAAACATTTTAATTTTTATCAATAAGAAAGCCTTCCCAAACGAAGCCTAAATCCTATGTGCGTTAAATCATGTTTGCTTGGTATGAGGTGTTAAATCCAATTAAATCGACGTAAATTGTTTGCCTACTTGTTTAAGAATTTAAGAATATATATGATTGGAATGTCTTATTGTATTTATGTTACTTATATCAATCTTAGTTAGAATGAAATCATAATTAATCTAATTAAACATCTAAACATATAGTTAATTAATAATTTATTGAGTTAATTAAATAATAGCTTCTTTATAATTATATTAGAACTAGTTGTGATTAATATCCTAATAAATCATTAGTTAGCAGTTATACACGTTGAAAGGAAGTTGGAGGTGATTGAAGTAAATATTCAATGTTAGGGTGCATAATTGATTGTAGACCATTGATTGATGATGATTGATAGGCTGATTAACTGAGATTTGACTGAAGACTGGATGTGTGATTAATAGGATATATTCATGCTGATGATTGATAACTCGTTAGATGATTGACTGTCAATTGTAAGATGTTTAATCAGGAGTCTGGATATGTCCTGATGACCTCTTACAAAAATGAGGTCAATAACTTGCATTAAAAAAATATTTTCATAATTCTAATTTGTGACCTCTTGTTCATAATTAAGATAATCACTATAATGTCCTTTTTAGCTCATTATTTTTTCTAGAGAATAATTTCATTTAATATTGGTATCCAATGCGACTACTTGTATTCTTAATTCACTTGATTTTTCTTAGTTTGATGGTATTGTTTTCTACAAAATTAACTTGTTATGGTTGGACAATAATACATAATAGAACTTTTGGTACATGGAATTTAAGGTTCCATAATATTTATCATGCTTGATCATCTATACTGTATAAAGTGAGGCCCATTAGGGGAACAAATAGGTTGGTTGGAAGCAGTTTTAATTTTCATTCATTAAGGGTATGTTTGGGACGGCGGCACAGTTACTTTGCTTTATAAAAATTTATTAAATCGGCGTTTGGGGCATTGCGGCACAACCACGTTAGAAAAAATTTTGCGGCACCTAGTTGCTTTCCGAGACCTTTCCCGTGGTCCCGCGGTCCGCTGCGGTTCGCTGCTTTCCTAGAAAAATAACGTAAATTCTCCCCTGCAAATATTAGCGACCGTCGTCCGAAGCCTTCAGCACTGCTTCCGACTACAATTTTTCGCCATGGCAGACGTTGCAGAGGAGATGCAGTCATTGCAGGAGAAAGCATCGGTGTGGAGCGGCGTCGCGGCGAGCGACGCCTTTGCGATCGACGAAACCAATGTCTTCAATGCTGTTGACGGCGACATTAAGCCTTTTCTTAACCTGTCCACTAATTTCTACAACAGGGTTTATGATGACGAGTGGTTCCGATCGATCTTCGCATGGTCGAGGAAGGAGGATGCGATTCAGAATTAGTATGACTTCTTTGTGCAGAGAATGGGAGGCCCTCCTCTTTACTCCCAAAGAAAAGGTCATTCTGCCCTAATTGGGTGCCATCGTCCATTTCCTGTACTCATCAAGCAGCATATAGATGGTTACACCATATGCAGTAGGCATTAGATATTAGTATATTACCCCAAGCATTGACCTCGATTCAAAAATAAAAAATGATGCATTTCGTCAGGCATACTGTGTTCTTTCTTGTGGTTGGGAATGAGATAACCAGGCAAGCTCAATAAGCCCCTTTGTGACAGGATAGAAGAATGCTGGTATGCTTGTAGGATTAATTTTCTTGAAGAAAAGTATATACTCTATGGTTAAACTTTATTGTCCCTAAAGCTATTATTATTTTCCGGACTCGCTGAATCCAGACCAGTGCAAAGCTCACGAGGCAATTCTTCCTGCAAAGACTCAAACTTAACTTACAGACATGGAGCTTCACGAGAGCGAAGAGACGACATTGCATGATGTGAACGTGGAGCAGGAGATGAGGATGAAGCAGCAAACTCAAGCTGAAATGCATAAGTCTAACCATCTTCCAAAGCTAAAAATTCCATAGTCAAAGAGAAAACTAGATTATTAGAAGAGGCGAAGAAAAAAATTATATTTTTTAAAAAATTATTTTCTCTTTATATACATAAGGATACGAACGTAATTTGTTTACATGTAGCTGCAGCACAGCAATTTTGTAGTTATACTATCTAAACAAAATATAATGATTTTTATACAGCAACTTCAGAAAGCAGCTTTATGTACACCAATTTCATATCCTTCTTTACCGACAGCTACAGCCGTCCCAAACGCACCCTAAATTTTGGGAAACTTAATAATACTACATCAACATTCATTCTCGTAGTTGGTACTTAATAGCAATTTAAATATCTTTCATGTATGTACTTATACATCAATCTTTACATGTGATAATCTTTGGGGAATGTATTTTTGATGAAATATCATAGTCATTAGATTTAGTTGATTAGATTTTGCATACTCATTATTTTAGCCCATCATTTTTTTATGAGGAATGTGGATATTAATCTTACTTTGAACAAGTTATGGAGTATTTTGTTTCTTTTTTGATTTCAATGTGTATGGTTGTAATGGATTATGAAGGGACTATTTTTCAGGACTAAATATATTGTGTTTACATTATTTGGAGGAACGAGTTAATTATCAAAGTTAATAGATTGCATTGACTATACAAAATAATGTTCACACGTCTTCTCAATTTTATGTCGTAAATTCATATAGTAAATGATAGTGCAAAAAAAAAAAAAAAAAAAAAAAAAAAAAAAAAAAAAAAAAAAAAACTAATTCAAGCACCTCAGCTTTCAGCGCGAGGAGATAGAATGTCCACATATTTCGAAAGTTTTTCAAATTCCTCCATTGAGAATTTCAAGTCGCACCCATTTAATGGTAGAGGGTCGCCGGTCATCCTCCGATGACCGGAATACCTCAACCCCATCATCTGCCGCACGTCTGAATCATATGGATGCAAAAGGTAGATTCTCAATCAATCGTTGTTTGTCTCGGAATTCATATTTCAAGAATAATCCTTTGATTATTAGAGAAAGTCGAATTGAAGCCAGTCATAAGCTTCTTCCCGATGGTAGCAAAGGGAAAGAGGTAGTTTCAGCGAATTGTTTGGATCATAAGGTTCCTTTATCTGTGTTGGATAGTCGCCTAATCGAAGCTATTTGTTCGGATTTTCTTCTTAAATCAAATGATTTGGAAGCTTTTTCTTCATCTACAGAATTTAATTTGAAGGTGAGCCATTATGTTGATAGAGGTAATAATTCTGTTGAAGCCTTTGAGAAAGATCCGCCTTCCATTTTGCTAAAGGATAAAAAAAAATCAGTGGAACATGATTTTAACATTCTAGTGTGTGGATCAAAACTCCACATATTAAAATAAATTTTAAAGGCATTTTGGAAGAAAATGAGGATATGAATGTTGTAAAACTTGATGTGGAGAAAGAAAGATCTAATGTTCAATTTTTGAGAAATTCTTTGGTTGTTAAAATCCTTAGCAAAAATCTACCTTCTTCCATTTGTAGTCTTGAGTTGAGACGTAAATGGAGTAAATTTGGTGGGTTTCATATAACCTCTCTTGGGTTAGGTTGGTTGTTGTGTTTGTTTCATTCATCTGAAGCTATGGAGGAAATTTTAAATTGGGGTCCTTGGTTTGTGGGTGGTTTCATTGTTGGCATAGATAAATGGACACCCGCTTTTTCTCCCATTTCTATGCAGGGAATTTCTTCACGCATTTGGATTCGATTGCCTCATTTACCTCTTCATTGTTGGGATGAAGTTAACATTACAAAGATTATCTCAAGAATTGGTACCCCATTGCTATTAGATGGTAACATGTTTAAATGGGGTAGAAGGGAATTTGCAAGAGCTTGTGTTCAAATCAAATTGAATACTAAGCTTCCTTGTGGAATTTAGATTGAAGGATTGTGTGGAAATTTTTTTCAAAAAATTGAATATGAGAATATATCTGTTTTGTGCTTTAAATGTGGAAGGAATGGACAAAAAGATTCTATGTCCTAATATCTCTCCTGCAATGAGTAATCTTGCAAAGGAAAGTTCGAAGAAATCATTTCATAAATCTGAAAATGGTAATGGGACCTCATATGGTCCATGGATGCATGTTATATTCAAGAATAAGAAGAGGAGAAAAGCTTTTTTTCAGAAGAAACTAGTTGGGGATTTATATCCTCAAAAACCTATAGATGTTGTTGAAGTTGAAAGGGTTAACGAAAAAGAATATGGATTGTTGGAGAGTATTTTGGAAGTAAATGTGCAGGAAGCAGATGCCACATTTGATAAGTTTTTATCAGGTTTGGATGGAAACAATAGTTTTAATGTGCTATCTCATAAGGAAGATGGAATTGAAGATGTTAACATAGTTGATGTTAACCTGTTAGATGAAGATGCTGGAGTAAATGCCGTTGAAGCTGCTGTTATTGAAGAGTTAAACAAAGGCTGTGATGGAATAAATCAGGATGGAACATCTGTTAATGGTATGGATTATGATCAGGAATTACCTTCAGACGGAAATGCAATTAGATACAATGGGAATAAAAACTGCAAGAAAATCAATGAGGCTCTGTCTGATTTGCAAAACGTTGCGGGTTCTGAAAATCTCAATAACAAGGCAGAATTTTGTGGAAATGATTCTGTTTTAATACCAGAAAATGAAATTACGGTGGAAAGGAATGCTGCAAGGGTAGAAGCTGATTTCATATTGAATAATGAGGATTCTCCAATTTCAAAAAAGTTGGAGGTGGAGATTTCCATAATTCAGCCTATGGAAGTAAAATTTGAAGATTTCAGAGTTGTTGAAGGTAATCCAACTGTTTCTATTCAGGAAAAATATGGATTTGGGTTCACTCATCCCAATCAAGATGTTTCTAAGAGTTCAAAATCTTTGAATTTTGTTAATAGTAATAAGAATACAAGGTTGGTTAGTGTTAAGAAAAACACTAAACAACTTAAATTCTTAAGACATATTGAGGAAATTCCTAGAAAAAAGAAAAGTTGATTGTAATTTCAAAGTAGCAGCTGGGGATTCTTTTGGTGCTTGAAGATGGAGCTTTTGTTCTAGAAGGATATTAGAATTCTTGGTATGAATAATGTCCTTTGCATTCGGAAATGGTATATTTCTGTTTCAAATGATGGGAAACCTTTTCCTAAGGATTCAACTGATGGTAGCCGTTTATTTAAGAGATGCCTACTCGAAGCTTGCTTAGGTTTTTCTCTGTTTTATGATGTTATGGTTTTTTACTTCTTTGTCAATTTATATAGTTTTTTTATTTTGTTTTAGTTTTATATTTGTTTTATGAAATTAGAGTAATTGTTTATGGGATCTGTACTAATTATTTTTTAACTAGTTGGGAATTCTGGGATGCTAATCAACCTTTTAGGTTGTTTTATTCTTGATATCTTCTCCACCCCAAGGGTTTTAAAATAATAAGTAGTGGGTCTCATTTCAATTATGATAATTTTATTTTAACAAATATGCTCTTCAATATGGTTCCTTTCCTTTTTGGATTAGGAACTCTTAGTTTTTTTATTATTTTTTTTCTTTCTAGTTTGTATTAGGGGTTTCTTTTCTTCCAATTTGCATTTCTTCTTCTTCTTCTTCTTCAAAAAAAAAAAAAAAAAAAAAATGACAGTGCAAAGCAACCATTCATATGTATCTTCTTGAGGTAAGGAAGAAGTTAATAATCTGACAAAGGATTGATTTTACCTCTTTGAAGTAAAGAAGTATAATGATTGGTTTAATTATTATTAATGCTGTGCAAACTCAACAATGTGTTTTTCAACGGATCTTAATGACTATTATGTATTTCTTAAAATTGATCCATGAAAATTTCTATAATCATATATGTTAAATCTGAATGCTAAAGATTAATGATGATAACTTAGAATCTTTATTTTGAACATTAGAATCGTTCTTTATTAATTAGATAAATGAGAAAAAATATAATAATCTTTCTATATTTTCGTAAGCATTTACTATAGATAATAATCTTAGAAGTATGGTTTTAAAAGGTGTGCTTTAGGAGTTTAGTTAGTTGCCCACTCTAAGCAGATATAAGTCTTGATTAGATACACAGGAGAGTTTAAATCTAAATATAAATCTAAATATAAAATTTAATCTTTTTCTTAAATAGTAGAACTAAAAATCAATTTCCAAACTATGTTCATTTTTTTTGTAGATGAGAGAAACTAAATTTGTTGTTAAATCTTTTTAAATTCAAGAAGTTTAGTCTCTACTTTAATCGATAGTTTTCTCGGGACTTGTCTTAAGATGTAATTAAATATAGAGGCTTGCATCTATAGAAAATTGAGAACCAAGTTTAAAATAAACTCTTTTTTAGTTCTCTAAAGTAGTAGAAAAAATCTCTGGATAAAGATTATAACTTATTTTTTGGTTAGTTTTATTTTTAAAATGATAGGTCAACATCACTTTTATCTTTCGAGTTGAATTTAACTTGTTCTAAGTTGCGTTTGATCATGA